TACAGCTTACGGCACCCTCATTGCCAGACGCGTATTGGGATAATCGCTAAAACTACCTCGTTGTTTAAACTACCTCGTTGTTTAAACTTTTTGTTATTTTAATGACAATTCTATACGCAGGCCATTGATTTGTGCAACATATGCAACGTTTTACGAGCCACAGATGAAACCTTATCCGTTTCTGCGGCTCGTGTATGTTAGCTGAAACAGAATTCCTCCCAAATTATAAAAAACACTTTTTCCAAATATTTGTGGGCACCGACGCTTTCTTGGTAAAAGTCTCCGATGACTCTGCCATGCAGCACCTGCCCAACCGCCATGATATCGGCCAAATCGCTGAAGTAAAAGTATAACGGCATTCCGGGTCGGCCAATGTTTACCTTTGCCTTTGCCACCGCACAAATCTTTGCCGCTCTAATTAACCGTTCCAAAATACCTTCTTAATTGCCTTTGCCGTTGGCATTTTGCGATGACCTTTTTTATGAATGAATACCGCCAGACAATTTACCAAATCTGGAAATGCCGAACACGGTTTCTACGTAGAAAGATCTGCGTATCGATATCTACGGGTCCTGGACTTCGCTTGTTCTGCTTCGTTTGCGCTAACTGATAACTGGTGAGAAGAAATGCTACCTGAGCCTTCCTCTTCTTTCTCCTTGTCGGCATGTCGCTACTATCCCAGACTTGGTCACCTGACTTTTCCAGTGAGTTCTCGGGTCTAGTATTAGAGGTTTTTCGAAAACTAAGGTTTCCGTTTTGAATTGCACCGGCGATATTTCTGCCAGTCTGGCTACAACTGTCTAAATCAGTAAAAATCCTTTCCGACTGCCCCGGAGAGCTGCTTGAATATCGGAGCACCCTCTTCCACCAATGTTTATTACAGGCACCAATTTCACATTAATGTGAATTTTAATGTATAGTATATTATTACATGAACGTCATTTGCATATCTAAACAGACACAATATTTCTATAAGGTTAGAAAACACCGACAACATCGTTAGAGCGACTCCATCCCAATCTGTTCGGTGAAACTCGGAGTCGATCGATGTATCTTGGAAGCTCAAGAATCCTTGTCAGGAACCCTGAAGAATTCTATTTGGTAGTTACCGACCTACGGTAGACGTAGAAGAGAATCATCGGAAATCCGATGACGTGTCTCCAGATGGTTGCAGAGTAGTAAGCAAAACGCCAGCGCCAGATGGAAGCAGAAGCGATCAAGCCTGCTCTAGTTATAAGTGACCTTTGATAACGAATAAATGGGGAATACCGTGCAGATACCAAAGATTCGCTTTGCAAATACGAGTAACAACGAAGACAGGAAAACCTGTGAGAAGCACGAAAGATTCGAAGCATCTCGCGTGCTGTTGACTGGGCAGGGGATAAAAGGTGGCAGTGGCACCTGCCACTGGCAACTGCCACCGGCAGTGGCAGTTGCCAATACGTGTTCTGGCTAGCGATAAAACGTGGCAACTTAAAAAGTTCAGAATCAGCTAGAATTCGCCTCGAAACGATTTCGCCATCAAACGATAAGTTACAAAAGGAAGAATCTTTGTATTTTCACAAATCGACTCTACTAGACTTCTATGTTTCTGCATGGTTTTTAACGTTTTTTGCGTTTCTAAAACAGTCCCGTATATCCCAGCTCCCACGTACTTGCTTTCTAGTCGTAATACAAGTACAAACTTAGTACTATAACAAACAGCATTTATAACAGAAAACTGCGCACCCGGACATTTAGGAGTGTGACATTTCGCCGCCGGACATTCGGACGCTGGGACACTTCGGTTTGGGACATTACATTTTACCTTTGCGACATTTCGACGCAAGGCGTCTGGTCGCGGACAATTCGTCTTGGGACTTTTCGAACGATGTGACTAATCGCCGCAAAATAATTCACCGCGCTTAATTCTCACAAGCTTTTCAGTTATTTTAGGTTGTTCTTAGTTTTTCTTAGGTTGTCTTAGCCTTTCTTAGACTTTCTTAGGTCTTATTTTGCTTTCTTAGATTTTCTTAAGTTTCTCAGGTTTCTTAGGTTTCTTTGGTTTCTTAGGTTTCTTAGGTTATTCTTAGGTTTCTTAGATTTCTTAGGTTTCTTAGGTTTTTTTTAATTTCTTAGGTTTCTTAGGTTTCTATGGTTTTTAAGGTTTTTTAGGTTTTTTTCTGACTCTTTTATTTAGCTTAATAAATCATTTATCTGGTAGGCGAAATGTCGCTTCGTCGAGATATCCTTGCGGCGAAATTTCCTTGCGTCGAAGCGGCCATGCGACGAAAGTCTCGCGGCGTAAAGTCCTACCGACGGGATGTCTTGCGACGAAACGTCGCGCAGCTAGATTGCCTGGCGGTGAAATGTCTGCGACCAAATGTCCTGCGGCGAGATGTGGTTGTGCCGAAAACTGGTATCATCCCATCTCGGCTATGGGAAATTTCGCCTATAAATTCGATGGGAATCATAAATAACGCTGATACCGAAATCGTTTTCTTCTGGTTTCTTATTTTTCTAATATCTCCATACTTTCTAAGGTTTCTCAGGCTTTCTTAGGTTTCTTAATTTGTTTTTTATGATTCGAATCAAATTGTTAGGCGAAATGTCTTAGCGTACTCATAACACAAAACGCGCGTTTCCCCGCTGTATTTGTATAGATAAGCGCTCGCTGCTTAAAAACCTTTTCCATCCGTTCTGGCCAGTGGTAGTCGCCGTTTCGATCCTTCTCCACTACAGTAGTTTTTTGGTTCCGTCTCCCCAAGGTCAGTAAATTTCCAAGGCAGCACCAAGGAGAAATCCAAGTAAAGTCATCCCAGCCGAAGCGTTCCATTCGTGTATTCAGATAAGAGCACGCAATCTCGACAAACTGTTTGATCTTGCTTGACATGTGGCACATTCTGGATGACAAAAATAAACCACCGCAGAATATCGGAGTCGCATTTGGAATTTGGATTACTAAAACTTGGACTTGGATCACTAGATAGCTTACCGATTCGATTCCCTTTCCTGACTTTTTAATTTTTTCAGCTTCTTCTGTTTTCTCTTCTCTTCTTATATTTCATATTTTTCTTTTGTTACTAATTTAATTTAAAAACACAAGAATACGCTGAAAAATATAAGAAACATAAGAAAACATATTATGTTCTTATAAAGTCGATCTGTGAAAATAAAAAGATTCTCTCTATAGAAGTTATCGTTGGATGGCAGAATCGTTTCAAGCTGTTTCTGAATTTTTTAAAGTTGTCACGTTTTATAGCTTGCCAGAACGTGAAGTGGCAACTGCCACTGCCGGTGGCAGTTGCCAGTGGCAGGTGCCACTGCCACCTTTTATCCCCTGCCTGTTGACTGAATCGCTCCGCTTGACTTAAAAGACTTCGGGATGCGTGCAGGCTAACAAAACTAACAAAGACGTACTAGAAGGCCATTGGCTACAACAGCTGACAAACAACAACATTGGTCAGACGCAAGCAATCATCAACCGAAAGTAAATAAGCCAGACTATTATAAGTATAAAATGCATGTACAAGTAGGGATGCAAAATATTTAATAGGAAAAGCGACAAACGACAAGGTACAAAGATGTGCAGAAGGTGTACGTAAGTACTATCCACGACGGTACACGTCAATATCATTACTCCATTGTCGGTATTATCTTTGCATGTCATCCGTGGTCGAAGAGAACGCCTAATAAGAACTTCACCTAATCGCGATTTTCTCTCGGATTGAGGTTCATAATTTGGAGCCCGTTATTCGGAGAAAAATACCGGGTACGATTTCGAAGTCTATTTTTTAGTTCAAGACTTCAAGTGATCAACTAACAGTAGAACTAATATGATGACGCTGATGACAATATGACGCAGTCGGCTTTGGGCAACTGGCTTCGGAAGACAAACTGCATTTAATACTGTGACAGAAGAAGGTGTACGAAAGTTTCAGTACGTATGGGATAGGGGATATACCGATTATTGACAGGGACGTATCGGCACTAAGGTTATCAACGATCGGCAATGAGCGGCTATTAAATGTATTCAACAGAGATTCTGGGACGTGGCTGAATGCAGTACCAGCGCCGTCTCTTGGAACTTTCCTGCGAAGTGAAGAAGTCCGAATAAGAGTGACACTGTTTTTCGGACAACCTGCAGTGACAGCACATAACTGCGTCGCATGCGGAAAGTAGTGGACCCAAATGGCCATCACAAGCTTTCGTGCAATAATTCAACGAAGTTGGGTCAGATATAGGGAAAAGAACAGTATAGAGAAAACTGTGGTAAAAGTGGGAACAATGTGTTAAATTCCCATGTAAACTGGAACCGGCGGGCCTATCACAAAGTGACGCTATAGGACCTGACGACATGACGCTTACTCCAGTCCGTCAGGGAATGTCTATTGTATGAGACTTAACAAGTTGGTGCACAGTAGCCGATTCACATGTCCACGGAAGTTCGAAGAAAGCGGGAAGTGTACCCCACCTGGCAGAAAATGCAAAGTGGCGGATATACTCTTCACTGGAGAATCGATGCCAATTTAATCCCTTAGTCGTAGAAACGTTGGGAGTTTTAGTGCCAGCTTTAAGCGAACCGGAAACATTTTATGGGCCGCAGGATTCGTGAAATAACGGGGGAATCGCGTTCTACTGCTTTTATGAAGCAACGTTTTAGTTTGGCTGTCATTCAGGAAATGCTATTGCTGTATTACTCTTTACTTTGCGTGCAGATACAGATTTTGGTTGTTTTTTGTAATGTTTAAATTTTAACTGGGAAGCAATGTGCCCGCGCTTGAAGATTTTTTTATTGTTATGGCTATTGCCTATTAAAATATATATTGGAACATTTTTTTAATATTAAAGCCGTAATTACTAAAATGTGTGTACTAAATAAGTTTAGTTTCCTCTGTAACTTCAGCTTTCAAACACCTTTTAAACAAGTTTGCGTAAGTGTTTCTTAAGCCAGGATACTGTAACTATTCTCGTAAGTTGTAGTGATAAATTACTACTTATTGCGCCAGATTAAGGGCCCATTTCGTTCTAGAAGTACCTTTAATTACGTGATACTGCCTTCGGATCGTTCCAGCCAACTGGCCGAAAGGTATTAAAGAAATGTTAATGACGCTGGCATAAACACAGTGCCGTACAGATACACTGCTGCGATGATTTTAATGTAAAACCATTTATCGGTTGATTGCAGCTGGTAGGTGCAGTAGATACGGTCGCTTACTGTTCAGAGGTCGCTATTGACCACCTCACGGTAATCCTTGACCAGATTTTTCTTGAATGGACCCGTGATGGTTTCGTCCCTATAAATTATGTCGCTGTTGGCTTTGGAATTGTTGGCTGGGTCCCTGTTGGTTAGGTCCCTGTTGGTTGGGTCCCTGTTGGTTGGGTCCCTGTTGGTTGGGTCCCTGCTGATTTGGTGCCTGTTGGTTGGGTCCCTGTTGGTTAGGTCCTTGCTGGTTGGGTCCTTGCTGGTTGGGTCCTTGCTGATTGGGTCCCTGTTGATTGGATCCCTGTTGGTTGGGTCCCTGCTGATTGGGTCCCTGTTGGTTGGGTCCCTGTTGGTTGGGTCCTTGCTGGTTGGGTCCTTGCTGGTTGGGTCCTTGCTGGTTGGGCCCCTGTTGGTTGGGTCCGTGTTGTTGATGGGATCCTTGTTGGCCACCTTGTTGTTGCTGCTGAGGGCCACTGAAGCCACCGTGTTGTTGCGGGCCACCGAAACCGCCTTGCTGTTGCGGACCACCTTGTGAGCCACCGAAACCGCCTTGCTGCTGTGGGCCGCCGAAACCGCCTTGCTGTTGTGGGCCACCAAAACCGCCGTGCTGCTGCTGACCACCTTGTGGACCACCGAAACCGCCTTGTTGTCCACCGAAACCGCCTTGCTGTTGTGGACCACCTTGTGGGCCTCCGAAATTGCCTTGCTGTTGAGGACCACCTTGTGGGCCACCGGGACCTCCTTGTTGTTGTGGTCCACCGAAACCGCCTTGTTGTTGTGGGCCGCCTTGTGGGCCTCCGAAACCGCCTTGCTGTTGTGAGCCACCGAAACCGCCTTGCTGTTGTGGGCCGCCTTGTGGGCCGCCGAAACCTTGTTGACTGCCTTGGTGGCCTCCCATACCTTGGTGACCGGCACCGAAGGGTCCACCTTGCTGGCCCGCTTGTCCACCAAATCCGCTTTGACCTCCTTGCTGCTGTCCGGACGGGCTACCCTGTGGGCCGCCGAAACCATTTTGAGCTCCTTCTTGAACGCCATATTGAGCACCAAAACCACCTGGTCCATGGTGGCGAGCATGCATAACGGCAACAAGGCCTATAAAATTACGAATTAAATTTGAGTTGCCGTAACAAATTATTTTCTTTATATTAACTTACCGGCTGCGGCAAGGAAGACTAGGACTGACTTCATGTTGCTTTACTGCATTAACAAATTTTGCTCGCACAAGAGTAAAGGAATCTGTTACAAGGTGACTAATATGATTTACGATGTAATTCCAGACTTTCTTATATAGTGACCGTGATGTGAGTGAAAACACGTCAATACCGGATGTACTTTGCAGTCACTCCTGAAAAGGTTGAGAATGTAGCATTTATGAAGTAAGAAGCCGGTTAAAACTTGCATTTGCAGCATATTCTGCTTTTCAGCTTACAGATAGTACACCAACGAATGTCTTTTACTTATTTGCTCGTACACACTGCATTTCTTTTTCAAAATTCCCGGCTATTTTTTTCGTCAGTTCGATAGCCACTCATCAAAATATAGTGGTGTCAGCTGCAACGCTGCGTTTTCGGACTGCACAACGCCGAAAACGTGCTACCTGGCAGGCTGGCAGTTTAACATTGGGCTAGCCGCTAATGGCTTTGCAATATCTATGACATTACTAACCATAAGTACAGAATACTGTACTATGATTTGTATCACTACGATACTATATACTAGAGCATGTACAGAGTATGTATTTTGGTTCTTTTTGCATCGAGCGCAGCGAGATGCTACGATTAACTGATCGTCACGAGCAAAAATTTGTCTGACGCCACGAAGAGCGTCACGGCCCTTTTTTTCCAATTCCACAAATACAATACGATTATCCAGTGGTCTTGGAGCTCGCGCTCGTGCAAATATGTGGTTGGCAACCACCGCTAGTAATGTTTAAATTTCAACTATGAAGTGGTGCGTCCGCGCTAGCCTTTTTTGTTATTTGGATGGCCATTGCCTGATAAAGCACATTTAAGAAAGGCCAAAAGGGGGGATGCGATGAGCATACCACCGATTTTGCAGCATCTGCAAAATCGTCGGCGCGTTCGATCTGATGGCAATTGCTTTCGTCCAGTGACCGGTTGACCTTTGCGGACCAACGGGAAACAGCGAGATCCCAGAGCGGATGCGCAGAGTGAGATAGTCGACGATGTTCAGCGAGCCGTAAGCCAGGGCTATCCAGGACGGTGTCCTGATTTTTGTTGCGCTTGTTCAGGAATTCCGCGCGCACTAGCACCTTCCCGTGCTCGCCGATATTGTCGAACGCTCGGGGTTGTCTAGGGTCGTAATGTCCAGTAGAGCAACCATTCCGCCACTGCAAATCTGCTAAATGTTGACGATTGTGTGATAGCACTATAGACTGTACAATTTCACAGGAAAGCGAGACCAATATAAAATTATTTCCTTTCTTTTTCCGGAAATTCTGTATGCAGACCACCGACTTGATACAAATACATACATGGCAATGAAATGCAGTGTTTCAGACTAGTGCAAAAATGTTTGCACCTCACAATTTTTAAATGCATAAATGATACAAGAATTCAGCAGAGCGACAGTTTCATCTTATTCAACCGGCAATGTTACAAAAACATGAAAAAGCTATTTTCAGCGACATATTGTTTATTTTACTGTAGGTACTTATAACAGAAAAGCGTGAACGCAACAATGAACTTGCGTATTAACAGAGTATATTTATGGACCGCTAATTAAGTAGTTTAAAAATACCGAATTAGTGCGGAATTTCAAAATTAATAGAAAATTATTTATTAGCGATCTAAGCTGTATTCCCGGAACAACATCTCCCTGTTTCTGGAATCGTGCACTATTTATTTTATTTACTACATATTTTGAGTTTTTTAACTTTTTTTTCTCGTGGGATGATATTTATGGCTTATAATAAGTATGTACTTGGAAATAATTATTTTTGAAAATAATGAATTAATAAACTGGATGTAGTAAAAACTGGAAAGGCTGTCAGAAAAGGTCGCAATTCGGAGAAAGAAAATTTACAGGCAGTTTCCCAACTGAGCCCTGCCGCAGTAGCTTTACCAAATCATAAAATTGCTCAAGGCGCAACACAAATAATTAAAAAAACCGCGGTTTCAAAAAAAACGCAACAATGTCTTACGAAAACTTCAAAAATGTTGAATGTTATCTGATCACCAAATGACCAGCTTATCCAATGCCCTATTACGAAATTTTATTAATCCAGTTTTCTCAGCTGCAAATTATTACGAGTACTTATAGTTGTGTAACCTTATCGGCACATCAGTCAGCCCATGTACAGTATGGGGAGAATTTTATTGCATTGAGCATTTTCTGCATACAACTGAAAATTTGATGCATTAATTGAGAAAAATGTGGCACTGTTTTTAATTAACTGTCTTACAAAAAAGCAACTGAAAACATATTTGCAAGAGAAACGTAAAAAAATTAAAAAATGTGACATGGAAATAATTTTTAAGTTTGGCAGCATATCTGTACACTGCCAAGGCAAACAGCTACTCAAACATCGAAGTACAAAGACGCCACCTTACTACGTTCACTCATGCTTTATACGAGTATTATCCGCATATATTGTACGCGCATGCTTCTCGGCCAGAAACTTCTTCAGCTGAAATAATCCCGTCGCCGATCTGATTCCGTGCACGAAGCTTACTGCAAAAATCCCTAGAATTTCTTCCATGCTCATGCAGGTTTCTGTGCGCCACGCGCCGACACTCGGCTTCGACGCTCGGATACTCCAGCCGGCCTTTTACACTGCATACTTCCCGGCACTGTCCCAGGCTGGCCGGCCCGAAGCAGCCGTGCTGCAGGCTTTCGTGCAGGGCATCCCACATCTTCCCCGGTAGCAGCGGATCCCCCACCGTCCCCCGCGGAATACATCCGGCTGCCTGAACACCGGCACGCACCTACAGTTTAACCTGTTTCAGATTTTACCCTATCCTCACTGAAGAAATTTAATACGACACTAAATCCTACCAGTTAATTCAACTCCAGAAGACAAACTAGCAGTACCGCCAGTACGGTATGATTGGTTTTAGAGCCAAAAAGCGTAGCACAACGGCAACCAGAAGTCACACCACCGAAGCAATAATCTACTCAGAAAAAGAAATAATCGAATCTAAATCCAATCTAACGTACGTGGGTAAATTTGTATATACGGTGATTGACATGTCCACCTATAAAGTGCAGTTGATTTTCGGGTTCATTCAGATAATGTCATGTCTGATTTTTATGATACGACATAGAAAAAAGAGTATGTAACCATTTCAGCATTAATTATGTAGTCGAAAAACTCTTGTGTAAAGGTAGAACTACCGTGAGATACTCTCGCCACGTTTCGCGCATAGCCATTTCGTTTTTTTATTGGCAGTAGTGTCCGGCAAACTCGGCTGCCAGTTCACTACGATTTCATCTAGGAACGGATTGGTTTGAACTGCCAGTTCTACATCGTCGGCATTTTTTGACGTTTACCGCCTGACCTTTAGGTATGTGCAAGTGTTGGCCGGCAGTCGGATGTGTTGCCATAGTGGGAGCGGTGGGGGATGCAGGCACTGTCCGTAGGAAAAATGCGCTCTGCAGGAGGCCTCTTAATTCGCGGTTACTTTGGCCGGCTCCTAAAAAAAGTGTCGGGATTACCGCGGCCGACTAACACCGACAGGGAGCAACGCCGGAAAGCTGCTGAAAATGGCGGCAAACCATCGAAAAGAAGCGAATAAGCACAAAGCATTTAAAAACAATTACATAATTATAATAAAATTTACAACAGAAGTATATTAGGACAATTTATAGCCAGCTGAACGTTTCTCGCTAGCTGCACGTTTCTTTTCAGCTGTTCGCTGCGTTTCGGTCCATTCGGACGCGAAAATCCCGGAAATGTTCCACAGAAAACCGACACAAACTATCGTGCAGGACGCGTTCGTGCAGAGCAAGAAAACGGCAGCGCGTTAAATTAATTTAATTAATTGACTCGTCCCGCAGTAACAGCCCTCCCCGCAAAAAGAAACCGGCCCCGTCCAAAACTAATACGAAAAATAATACATAACTCCGGGCCACAAATTTTTAAAATACGGCAACCACATTCTACCGAAAAGCAATAAATTAAGAACGGTGACACGTACTAAGATCAAGATCAACAACACGGCACACTGGCTACCTACCGTATTGCGTACAACCAGCCCCGTAGGAGACTAAATCACAGCACAGCGGCAACGTGCGCACATTTAGTAAGCAGCGATACCGCCAGAAATCAGTGAAAGCTACCGTTTAAAAAGTTTCATTCATTTTTTTAATGAAAATTTTCTTGCGCACGCTATCGCTTCTGTGCAGCTTACAGCTACGCGTATGTAAAAACCTAGGAGGAAACCCAAACTTTAAATGTCATATAAAATCACATAGACCAGTATGACATGCTGCAGCTTGAGACAAGAACCTCTGCATGCCATGTCAACCGTAAACCAACGAAGCCGCACTACAGGAAGACTGGTTTCCTGTCCCTCCACGTACGGCTCCAGGGTCCTGATTATATGCATTACGCAAGCCGCTACGCGGCCGGCGGCCCGTAACTCTAGACACCGTCACTGCGTAATGTGCCATTGGTTTCCGTGGTTTTTCGCGGTACGTCGTGTGACGGACGCCAGAATCCTGGCTTGGCTCAAGAATACTTATTCTAGCACCGTATGATACAATTTGTACGTACTTCAGACGAATAGTTACGATTAATATACTTAAACCATGAACGCTTGATCTGCCCGGATGTTTTGCTGAACTGCTCTGTTCAGGTCGTGGAGGTCTAATTTACTAAGAAGACACACTACGGTACGTAAGAGAGTGTTCACGGTTCAGAGTTCAGAGGTGTTCAGGGTTCAGAGGTCCCCCTAATGTTATACATTACGAGAAGCGCCGGTACGAAAAATGTTGTTCAAGATTCGGAGGTGTTCAGCGTTCGGGGGTGTTCAGAGTAGGAGGTTCCACTGTAACCCGAAAAGTGTGTATTGGAGCATATCCCATCTAACTAACTTACAGTGGAATAAGTTTGGTACCGGTGGGTGGTAGACTGGTAGCATCCCTCGTAAACAACTGTTATTAGTTTTTCCTGCATGATGTAATTATTGTAATATGATACTAATGTACAGATTCTGCAAACTGTTGCGAAAATTTATGATATTAATTTTGTGGTGTCAGTAGTTTGCATCATGTGGCTAGGAACCGAAATAATAAATCTGCGTAAAATTTGACATGCGAGTTGTTTACTTGTTTACTTACAGCGTACAACAAGTAGGCATACAGAAGAACGGTAAAGTGTGTTT